CTTCCTTGTGAGAGAGGGAACCGGTTGGGTCCAGAGACTGTTGGTGCAGCAGAGTGCTTAGCAGCAGCAGCAGCGTCTAACTTCTGACTAATGAATGGCAGACCTTGATTAGAGATTCCAGCTCTTCCCTGAGAGCAGCAGGAGGAATCCAGATTGAAATCTTCAGGTTTGGCTCACTAGTAGTGATGGGCTATCTGAAGCCAGGCTTCGAGGCTTGTACCGAGTAATAAGGGGGCGTGTCAATGAAGCCCCGCTTCGAGGCCTGTGTTGTCTTGTTGAAAACCACGTGACTGGCAACAAACGAGGCCTCGCATTGCATTGGTCACGTGACTGCTTCATTTTGCGTGTCGGTTTTCAAAATAAAAGCGCGATGAATCCTGTTGCTTTGTGGGTTGTAGTAGGTGGTTTGGTCTCAGCAGAACAGTTTTCATCAGCAGTGGTTGTAATGGAGCCGTCAAAAAAGAGAAAAACCTCTCATATGTGGGAGTATTATGAGATGACAGATCACAATCACAACCTGAAACAGTGAAAAAAGTCATATTCCTAAATAAAAACAATTAAACCTAAAATCCAGAAATTTCTATATTTTCTTTTGTTTAATCAGGAGATGCATCAGAATCACACATCAAAACCAGACTAAAAGCCATTAGAAGAGGCAAACTCTATGTGTAACTTGATATTAAGAATCAGAACTAGAACTCCTAGGAAGAGATGATTTTAAACAAATTCTGTCTTTAAGGAAGCAAGTTTCAAGCTCAAAGTACACAGAGTCTGCAGCAACAGTCACTCAGTTCTCAATACATTAAAGTAACACATATCTTCATTGTCTAATAAGTCCATGTCATAAAAGAAAACCTAACACCACCACTGATGGTCAAGGATTAGATTGGCTAAAAATCATTTTAATCATTAAAACATGACAATTGAATAGGATTCTCCTCTTACTAAACATGAGTTTGATGAAAACTTTGTGACAATATTGCATTTCCTAATATTTGGAAGTATGATCCAACTGAGTAACAAGGCTCTTACAGTTTCACCAGCAGATGTCACTAGTGAGTGATGAATGAAGCATCGAGTAATGAACTTTTTTCAACACTTTGCGTTGGAAAGCTTCATTGCTTCACGAGGCTTCACTTGCCCATCACTACTCACTAGGGCTGGCAGGCAGGTTAAAGCTCATCCAGAGCTTCAGACGGGTTTCCTGTGAGCAAAAGACAGAGGCAGATTAGAATCAGGTTTCTCTCAAGAGACAACTAAGATTCTTTCAGGTAACAGAGGCTCAGGTTCGCTAACCAAACTTGGTCAACACTGCGGCGTCGAAGGAAGGTCTGGTTGCTGCTTATGTAGGAAGGTCTCCTGATGGGTTGATGAGCGTCAGGTGTGCTGGAGGGCTCCAGCCCAGGAGACCCACAGCGCACTCTGCTGGAGAAAGGTGGTACATCTCCAGATCCCAACACTCACTTTACAAACATCTGAATCAGGTCTGTGGTTGGATGGTCAAAACACTGAAGTTAGTTATATTAAAAAATGCTTGCATCCGTCCCACTTCTGAAATCAAACTTTTATCTATGCTTCACAGCACAGGTTTAGATAAACAAGCCAGGGCAAATACATAAGTCCTAAGGAGTGCTTTAAAATCAGACAGAGGGGTAGACTGTTTAATACGCAAAGGAAGGTAGTTCCACATTTTTGGAGCTTCCATTAAAAAAAATGCAATCCCCGGTAAGTTTCCTTTTGATTTTTTAGACACCCGGAGAATCAGCTAATCAGCTAACTTGAATGAATGAGAGGGTGCATGGATGTGCAACAGCTCAGAAAGATAAGAATTTGGACCATTAAAGGAATAGTACACCCAAAACATGATTAGCCTTCATTTTCTACTCACCCCCATGCTGAACAACACTCTGGAGTACTTTTTTGATATCTCAAATGCATCTGGAGATCTGGGAGGCGTCTTGCTGTCTGCTGACATTCAAATAATGGAGGTCTATGGTAACCGAGACAGAAAGGTCCATAAAAGTCCACAAAAAACGTGTCAATATTCCTCCATACTGCTCGTCCAATGTATTCCAAGTGTCCTGAGTGGGTAGCATCCAGACCGGCTTCCGTAGCGTCGTGAGCGAGCATGTGCGCGCTTTCAGGAAATCCTATACACTACTGTTTATGCTCTAAAAACATTCTAAATGACTTCGTTTCGAGTAAATTCTGGATGCTACCCACTCAGGACACTTGGAATACATTGGACGACCAGTATGGAGGAATATTGACACGTTTTTTGTGGACTTTTATGGACCTTTCTGTCTCGGTCACCATAGACCTCCATTATTTGAATGTCAGCAGACAGCAAGAAGCCTCCCAGATCTCCAGATGCATTTGAGATATCAAAAAAGTACTCCAGAGTGTTGTTCAGCATGGGGGTGAGTAGAAAATGAAGGCTAATCATGTTTTGGGTGCACTATTCCTTTAAGAGACCTAAAAGTGGATCCTAAAATGTTCAGGTAGCCACTGTAAGGAGGCTAAAATGGGGGTAATGTGTTCATGCTTACTAGTGCCAGATAAAAGATGTGCTGTAGCATTATGCACTCTTTGGAGTTGAGCAATGTTTGTGAAACTAACCCCTACATAAAGTTCATTGAAGTATTCCAGCTGGGTATAACAAAGGCATGGATTAGTGTCTCTGAATTTTCTCTAGTGAAAAGGGGTTCTATTTTTGGCTAATTAACTTAAATGAAAGAAACTTTTTTGGCACCGTTACCATAACGATAGCTGGCTGTTTGAAATTGATGTATGTGTGTATATATGAAGAACTTCATACTATTTGGAGGTAAAATAATTGCCATCATGGCTTTGTCAAGCTGCTGCCTACCTTTGTGAAGCTGGAAAAAAGACTAATAGAAACTGTATCAAGCAAAACTTTTTATTTCCAACCTGGAATGGCTGACAATAGTTGAATAAACTTTTGGCTCTCAAAATGGTATCAGAGCCTCATTTGCTGGCAATCGCCGATACCGGCATTTTAGTGCTGGATTGGGGCCTGGCCGGTGCTGGTATCGGTATCGGTGCAACACTAGCTTTAACCAGGATGTCGAATTTTTGGGTCAGCATCCATTCTGACACCAAGGTTAGTAGTAACTGACTTCCTGTAAAGGGTTATGTAACTTTAATCCTAAAATTCACTAAATTAAGTCTTACAGTATACTACGTTCACACCTAACGTGATTTGAGCAGCAAAAAAGCACCTGCTGCTTCAGGTGATGCTTCTGCTGGTCCTGTGTTCAATGGCAGAGAGTGGCCTTGCTATATTTGGTAATAAGTGGGTAAAAAGTATTTTATATGTGTTTTTAAGGAAAAAAGTCCAACTCAAAATATCATCTGTGCAGTCAGTTCAAGATCATGACCCTGCTTTCAGATATTATTTCACTGTCGGACCAGCACAAAACCCCCGTACACCGGCGCTGCTCTGTCACTGGAAATACTAGCAACAGCTGCCTCTGGCCCCATCGCCTCTTGGGGTTTTCCACTACTGTTCATGGTGGCTGGAAGGAGATGTTAGCGGTTTTCATGTACGTAATCCAAACTGCAGTCACCAAATTAATAAATGCGTACATATTTTGTCAGTATGTTTTGTCATTTTAAGCCAATTTAGGCGTTTCAGAGGCATGATCATGGCGATCTGCATCAGCAGTAATGTGTCTGTTTCCCTGCCAGCTCCCAGATCAGCTTCTCTGATTGGTTAATATGGCATGTCAAGTAGCAAAAGATACATTTTTCCAACTCAAGCAGCTGCTGCTTGTGAAGCGCGTCACGCGCATCAGATGTTCAGCAGCTCATGAGGCGCTTCTTCAGCTGCTCAGATGCGTCAAGATGCGCTGCTCCTGCTGCTCAGAACACGAGCCTTGATGCGCTTCAACCATTGACTTTGCATGTAGACCAGCTGCTTTTGCTGCTCCAGTCACATGCGGTATGAATGTAGCATTTATCTTATTACATTTTAAGAAATTAAGGGCAATTATAACAGCATAGCGTTCTAATTGGCTATCATCTGCGTATCATTTAAAATAAACACCATCCTCCTTTTTCAGCCAAGGAAAAGTAGATGAAGAGCAAAAAATATATATATTTAATGTCTCTGATTCTCTGGTTTTGGCGACAAATTTCAGGTTATATTTTTTGTTACAAATTATGTTGCGTTTTGTTTTTTCATATTGGATTTTTACTCTATAGACAGTTATGTTAAAGGATTTGTTGTAAAATGTAATTCTTCTAATGTTCCCAAGTAAGACTGCAGCAACATTGTGTATCCAGAATAATATGATAGATATTTGATCTTAATCTTTAACAAAACACATATTAGTTGACGAACTAGTAAAAAATTGTGTAGTGGACTGACATTGTTTAATAGAAATTACAAAGATGTTTATTAAACTCTGGTTCAGTAATATATAAATGACTAACATATGAGTGAAATGATAGGCTTTAGATTGGATTGTCATTGTTCTATATAATAGGCCCCTGAAGTGTGATGCATGTCTATAGGGACAAAATGTGGAGCCAATATAACTGTGTGCAATTTAGACAAATTTTCTCACTCATTTGTGATTGAGCAAAGGTCATAGTGGCTGACACAGTTTGATTATTTACTGAGCCACAGTAGATTCCATTCAGGAAGTCCATTTTGACATTTTGGAGCTAGAAATAAAGCCTGACTAACAGGCATATATAGGGCTCCTCTGCACATTTTGACAGGTACTTATTTTTGGTTGTTTTATTAAAGAAATAAAACAAATTTTTGCATTTTTTTTGTACTTTAATCTGGTTCCACTGCCTTTAGAAAACATTTACATATAACATATATAGCAGCTGGTGTGGGTGTAGTACAGCAATTTAATTTCAATAATTTTCTAAATGACACCCTATCTTACTTATTGTAATACTTGGTATCTTAAATTTTCCTTGGGAACTTCTATTCTGATATGGTGAACTTTATTTCCCCACAGACATTCACAGAAGGCATCACTAACCAGCTGATTGGCTGCTACGTTGGCAACCTCCAGGACTCTGGTTGTGTTCTTGTCCGTCTTTACGGCAGAATGACAGAACTCTATGTGAATCGCGATCGAGAGGTAGAGATGTTCCAGGTGTTCCACGCCCATGGCTGCGGCCCCGAGATCTACTGCAGCTTCCAGAATGGCATCTGTTACGAGTTTGTCCCCGGAAATGTGTTGGAAGATAAGCTACTGCAACAGCCATCCATCTACAGGTCTCTGCTGGCACAAAGCTTCACTTACCTCATTTATATTGCCTTATTTGCTGTTTGCTTTTTGGTTGTATGTGTATGCCCAATCTTGTTGTGTTGTTTTTAATTTTGCCTAGATGATATGTAGCTGTGGTTGTCTTGTCTCCTGTGGTTTTATGTTAATGTAACCTTTTAAGCCGCCTTCTTGGCCAGGACTCCCTGGAAGAAGAGTTACTTTAACTCAATGGGACTTTCCTGGTTAAATAAAGGTAAAAAAAAAAAAAAAAAAATATTAATCTGGGAAGAAGTAGGACGAGTAACAAAAAAAAAAAAGAGAGATGAATACATGAGGGAATTTGTTATAACATTAAAGAATGAACAAATCCTGATAAACAAATAAAGTATAATGAGTTAAATGCAACATTGTAGAGTGGACTGCATATCTACTGTAGGATTTATACTATATGTGTTAGAATGAAGCTGTTTGAATAAAGCCCTCTATACGTAACAATTGATGGGTATAGATAAAGTCTGACCATCGTCTTGTAGATCACCTCCTCTGTCTTCTCTCATATTCTCCCTCCTACTCAATGACTGATAGCTGAAAAAAATTCCAACAATTGAATCAACATGTTCTTTCTTTTTTCATGCATCACAACTGCAACTTGATAAGACAAAAAATATTCAGAGATAGAACAACTTAACCAGTTGACATTTAATTGTCTTACAAATATCAAGATTTTAAGTTTTCACTTAATTTTTTGGGGTTGAGTGTTACTGTCAAAGTACTGTAAATTTGTAGAAAAATGGTACAGTTTGTTGACATGTAGCCTTGACAGGTACTACAGGGTACAAATAAACTATGCTAAAGTGTTTGAATTAACAGCTATTGTTACCACTCGGGTGGGCGCAGAGCGAATTTAAAGCCCTATTTACATTACCCTTTTGAAACAGTGACTAAGATAACTATTGAGTGTAAATGGAACGCAGCTGAGCAGTTCAACAGTAGAGCTCGGCGCAGTTCAGTTGAGGCTCGGTTCTCTGATAACAAAGAGCTCATGAGCAGACCATCTCATCTCCTATTTAGAGTCAGCTGACTCATTTTGAGGCTTTGCAATTCAAAGAAGTTTTCACTTGCTGACAACACCAACTTCTTCTCAGCTTCCTAACAATGAATGGCATCAAAAGAGTGTGGTGGGACTTGGGATGACACAGAGACTGAGATTCTCATTGAAATTTGAGTGGAGGATCCTATCCAGGCACATAAGTTCCTGTATGTTATAGGCGCCGCCATTTTTGTTGCGTAATTCCCCGCATTGAGAGCTGTAATATGGTCGACGGCTGATAGGAGGTGAGGAACCGTGCTAGGGTGACGTGTAAATGGTGGTAAGAACCAAGCTCAGCCCCGTTAACTGATCCAAGTTCTGTCCAAACTTGGCACGGATCGGCTATTAAAAATGGGGCATAAGAAAACTCTGATTTTAGTTTTAGTTTTTTAGTTTAAATGCTGTGAACAGTGTTAACATTCAAATTATCATATCTTCTTTAATCCTTTTTCAATTTCCACAATTTTGACATCACCGGAAAGGCTTGACTCTTTTGACTTTTTAGGGTCTAGTATTAACTCCAAACCCTGTTTTTGCCACAGCCTATCATGTTCAAAGAACATAACCAATGAGGCAATAATATCACAGTTTAGTGTGCATTCTTGTGTTTAAGAAGCAAAGTTTGTCTTGAGGAGTATACATTGAGTTCATATTAGCTTTAAAAAAACAAATACAGGGGAAAATCTACATTTTTTCTCCTGGTTTTTTCTTGTCTTAGTAATTTCATCTGACCTAGTGGTTAATAAAATGTTCATTATATTGGTTTTTCAGTGTTTAGTCCTGTTTCGCTCCTAAACATAACTCTTTTATGGTGCTCTATAGCCTGATTTACACTATCCTTTTGAAACTGTGCTGAGATCGGTACGAGTACGGTAACCAAGATAACTCTTCAGTGTAAATGGCACGACCTACACACCGGACCGTGCCAGACACAACCAACTGCGCTAAACTGGTACTAGTTCATCAGTAGGGCTCAGTACGCTTCAGTTCTGGCTCAGTTCTCAGATAACAATGAGAACATGAGCAGACTGTATCATCTCCTTACAGTCAGCCTCTATAATCATTAAAATTTCAGACTTTCATAAAATTATTAGCTTCCCTACTGTGCCACACGATTTCCAGTGATGATTCTGCTTAGCAGTGTGACAAATCTCAACTCCTGTAATTTTTTTCCTGTGTCTGTAAGCCCTGATCAGACTATTGTTTACGGTGGCCCTGAAGTGCAAACTGCAACTACAAATCTAAAAGCGCAACTACATTAAGGAAATCGCAACTACATAAAGCAAAGCGCAACTACATTAAGCAAAACAAAACTACATAAAGCAAAGCACAACTACATTAAGGAAAACACAATTACATTAACCTACCGGAAAAGGTAGGTATCAGTGGTAAACATGAGACATCGCTGATTGGATGACGGCACTTCTTATACAGTAAAAAGAGTTGTATTTCTGTATAACCAATCATTTACATTGTTTATTAGTGGAATCATTAATTAAAACCTAAATGACACAAATTTCCTAAAAAGTAAATAAAGAGGTAGATTTTACTTTTCAAAATGTACTCTTTTTACATTTTCTTTTCTGAAAGACGTCTGTCTCATTTCTTGTCAGAAAAAAATCTTGTGGGTTGAATGAAAGAATATTTGAATCTAAATCTATCAGACTCAGGAATGATTTTAGAGCTTAACTGTATTTTTCAAGGACAAAAAAATACAACAACTACATCAACCCTGTGACAAGATTTTGACCTTGCTTTTCTTGTAATTGTCTCATCCTCCCAGTATACAGTGTATAACCACAATATCAACACAATAAAGTGAAAAAAATAAAAAAGGAAGTGGAATATATCTGAACTTTTCCACAAATTCTTCAGATTGAGTCTCACTGAGTCAATAAGTCAAACTTGTGTCTGAATGTGTAAACATCAAAAACATACTATTACCTCCAAGTGGAAAAGCGAGATTTATTTATTTATTTTTGTGTCTGTTTTGACAATATAGTACTGGGGATTTATCTCCAAGTGCTAGATAAAAGATATGCTTTCACAAGTAGACCATTATGGTTTTTGCCATTGATACTTTTACATGAGACTTTCCTCAAAATGATTTAGGGATTAAAAATCATACGCAATGAACACAGAGTTGAGAAAGGGAGATAGATAGAAAGGAGAGAAAACAGAAAAAAAACAACAACAAAAAAAACTGCATGATTAACAACACAGAGGGTACACAGAGTAACTGCTAGAAGTCTGCTTCCACCTGCATAAGAAGATTTAACTTAAAATCTCATATTGTGAAAGCATTTTGGAAGACTAAAATGAATAAAACTAACTAAAAGGAGAAAAACCTAAAGAATAACTACAACTGAATCGTCCATCCATTTTCTGACACGCTTTATCCCAGGTGGGGTCGCAAGGGGTGCTGGTGCCTATCTCTAGCTGTCTAAGGGCGAGAGACGGGGTACACCCTGGACAGGTCACCAGTCCATCGCAGGGGAACACAGAGACAAACAGCACAAACCACGCACACATTCACACCTAAGGAATATTTAGAGAGGCCAGTTAAACTTACAGTGGTGTTTTTAGACTTTGGGAGGAAGCAGGAGTACCTGGAGAGAACCCATGCATGCACATGGAGTACATGCAAACACCATGCAGAAAGACCCCGGGCTGGAAATCAAACCTGCAACCTTCTACCTGCAAGGCAGCAGTGCTATCAACTGCCCAACTGAGCAGCCCAGAACTGTAGTCAGTTATGGGTAAACATTTAAGAACAAAAAGTTATGAACTATTGAACCCTATGGATGCCAGAGGTGTATTGCTGGAAAAAATATATAGGTTTTCTAAAACTTAAATCTTTATAAACAGAAAATTTGATTAAATGATAAAATGGATTAATCACCCAGCCCTATTACAGAAGTTCAGGGATAACAAACTTCAATTTTTGAATCCTGCACATGGAATTCAGATAAAGTATGAAAAGACTAAGTTGTTACTAGAACTAAGTAGATAGAAGCTCAACTGAAAAAAGAAATACTGAAATAATAGTAACAAATAAACATTTTCAAACCCTCAGTAAAAGTTTTAAGGTAATAAATTCTGTTAACAAAATGTAAGTACTTTTAATGGAAAGATTCTACATCATTTATTAGATAGAAAGCATTAATGTTACCCTACGCTTTGAACATGTCATTTGAAACTATTCTGTTAACTGTAAGAAAATAGTTTACTGTCATTTAAAGAAGCATTTAGTTAATTTGTTACTTTAGTTTTTTAATTTTTATTTTTTTTACTGATGATATTTGCTTTGAATATCACTTTAATCACCTTTCACGTTTTTTCTTTCATGGTTCATTTCATTCCCGTCCTGCATAACAGGCCAACTCCATCACTCACAGGATTGTAGCCAGCCAAGGCTAAAAAGCCAGGGCCACGAAACAGATCAATCATCTCACTCTGCACAGTACCATCTCTGGCGGGTTCCCAGGAAACTCCATGTCACGGCTAAGATGGCTTAAGAACAAAAAAAAAAAAAAAATCAAGCAGCTGAAAGGTCACATAGACAAGGAGGGCCATTATTTTAAAAAGAAGAACAAGATAAGAAAGCTAAATGGAAAGGGAGTTGTGTTTCTGCTCTGATAATGCTTGTTTGTGCAATAACAGTACCGCCCAGGGTCATTGGAGAAAATGTTTTTTTTTTCTCTCGGCAGATTGATCGCAGCCGAGATGGGAAAAATCCACTCGATTCAGCCAAAACGGGGCCGGCCTACGGAGGCTTTGCTCTGGACCAAGATGTCTCATTTTCTTTCTCTGGTGAAGAGCAGCATCCCCAGGACCCCAACTGAGCAGACATGCACAAAAAGGTAAAGAAGGAACCACATGAAAAATTACCTTGAGTGGTAAAAAATAGAAATAAAAAATACATGATGAAGACTGATTTACATGTTACCCCCCACAGTCAGCTGGGAGTGGCTGTAGAGGCTAGCATGACCAAATGTATAGTCTTCATGGGGAACTTAGACATGCAGAGATTAAAAAAAAAAGTTTTTTCTATTGAAATGCTTTACATTTCAGGAAACATTTAAAACTTTCTGTTTTTTTATTAAACTGGCAACATGTCCAGGGTGTATCCCACCTCCCATCCTCCTACCAGAGATGCTTTTACCAAAGGTCTGTAGATGGAGAGAGTAGATGAAAAGATTAACAGATAATTTCCAAGTTATTATAAGCCATAGGGGCTAGATATTCCCCTCACTGCGAAGGTCAAATCAATCTAAAACTCTAGAGCAAGGGTCTTCAACGTTTTCCATGCCAAGGACCCCAAAACTGATGGCGAGATGGAGCGGGGACCCCCTATATATTGTATAAAATTGTGATATATCAAACTGGTCCTATAGTCAATCTATTACAGCTGGATTTACAGCCCTGGGATTATTAAAGTGTTTCTGATTCTAATTCCTCGTTGATGGGACAGATGTTGTGAAAGAAACGGTGCCCAGCTTGGAAGAGCTCCTGAAAGACATCTGCCTCCATTTATCTGTTTACTACCGTGTGTTAAATTCATGTTAATGTGGTTTTAAAGACATTTCAATTAGTAGAAGAATTGCAAGGGGAATATAAAAAAGAAGTCTAATCAAGCAAATCCTTCACGACCGCCATGCAGTAGCTCTGTGGATCTCCTAGGGGTTTTGCGGACCCCCTGTTGAAGACCTCCCCTCTAAAGGGTAAATGTTCATCTTTATGACAATATGGATGTAAGATGACTTAACATGAACTGCTTGTTTTGGATGAGGCCTTCAATGAGCATATTTGCTTTCTGGAACAAAGTCATTTAGCTGGATGACACTAAGGTGTAGATGTTAGCTTGAGATACCTAAAAATAAAAACAAATGCAGAACAAATCTGGTCACTAGAATACCTGGATACGTTTTATTGACTGAATTAACCATAAAGACCTTTTTAAACACCAAACTATTAAGCCCTAAACACACTGAACACCATTTTGCATCTGATCTCAGAGAAATTTGTGTCATACGAGGACTTGGCGTTTAGCGCTCATTGGGAGTCCATGTGGATAAAAAACACCTGACATGATTTTCAATGGGGGTTTGCAGATAGATAGATCCTAGGTCTATGTTAGTGGAACTTTGCAGAGTTACAAGGTCAGCTTGATTGGTCTGACAGGGAGAGAAATTCGGTTTCAAAGTAACTTCCACTTTAGGGGAAATATAAAATAAAATCTTTCAATCACAAGAATAAACAGAAAAGTTTGCCCCATTTGGACAGACTCTGGTATAAGCAATCACTTAAACATCTCTATCAGAAAATATTCCTCCCATCATACTGTAGGAGTTCAGGAAGACAAAAAAAGCATAAAATAAAACAGTGATCCTATCTGAGCCTCGAAAAACACAAAACAAAGGACACGAGCAGCTTATCACTCTCCCCTTTCTTCAAAGATCGCTCTCTGAGAATCCCCTTTACTGCTTCATCCACTACACTATATAATCCTTTAACCCATAGTTACTATTACTGTATATTTTGTATATATCAAAATCCTTTATCTTTTGTGGTTTTAGAGCATGCTGGTCATAAAATGGGGCTTTGCTTGTTAGCAGCAAAGCTAACAAGCAATAATCTATTTTAATAATCTATTAATAATAATAATTCTATTGGGAAAGCACAGAGACAGAAGTGGAATAAAGAATTAAAAATCTGCACAGATCGTGATCTGCATCACTATGCATAACATAGGCCCCTCTCTACAGACTGCAATCAATGTGACAAGAGAAAAAAAAAGTCAGACGCAACCCGAGTGACCTGGGAAGGGATTTCTTTAAAAAAAAACAAAAAATACACCATTTCCTTTAGAGTTTTTCTTGCCCAGCCTATTAAAATCATGTAAAACAGATTAAAGGGACAGTGTGTCGGATTTATCCCCATCTAGTGGTGCTGTATATGAATTACAAACAACAGACTGGTGTCTCCCGTCCGCCGTCTGAGACCTTTTTGAATGGAGAGGAACACATTAGCCCTCATCACACTCTCATATTTAAATGGGACACATGAAGCATTTCTATAAAAACATGACTGAAAGAATCCTACATAAGTTAGCTGGTCTCACTTCAGTAAAGAACAGCAGCAGCTGATAACTGTTGCATCAGAGCTCATCCTGTGTCGGCTAACATAAAAGCCAGCTGTCTCTAATAGCGACAGACTAGCTGTGGGACTATGGTGCCCTGTTTCTAACAGAACGGCAAAATAACGAATTCACCCAAAACCTCCGTGTTCATTTTATCAAGTGTTTTCCACCTGATAAAAGCCTTAATTCCTTAACTCTTTTGTCTTTTTTCGGCTTGTTTCCCTTGCCTCTCACTGGACATAGAGTATGGATGTTTCTCCATTATAACAGAAAGTAGAAGGAAAAAACGGTCTACAGTCTGTTTGCTTGTTCTAAACTTCTGCTCCACTGACTGTATGATCTGGTTGAATTTGTAAAGTGCCTTGAGATGACTTGTGTTGTGAATTGGCGCTATATAAAGAAACTGAATTGAATTGAAATTGAACTGACATGTTTTCAGGTTTTGCAGGTAAAATGTGTAAAACTGGCAGGTTTATCCTCTTTCAGCTACCAAATGATGACCCAACATGATGTCTGCCATTGCATGCACTTTCACATACATTTTCATAAAATACTCATTTTAAACTTTTATAACACTTTCATTGCTGATGTGATGTTTTTAGACTTTGAGGATGCATTTATTAAAGCAATACTTGGTTTTTGCTCATAATAAATGTCACACAGTGTCCTTAAAATTAAAAAGCTGTGGTCTGACTTTGAAAAGGTTGTTCAATTGAAAAAAAACCCCAAAGAAAACTGGAATTGTTTTCTAAGTTTGAAGAAGTTTCCCTTTTTTTCAATTCAAAATGTCTGAATTAGCGTTGAGCTCCAAGCTTTATAGATCTGAACTTCAACTGGTTCAATTTGCATGTTTTCTAAGCTAAGAAAAGGCTTTGTTGTGCTACTCTATAAGGCTTGGAACTCAACGCTAAGTCTGACATTTTGAATTGAAAAAGCTTCTTGGATGGGAAGCGAAACATCTTCAAACTTGGAAAAACAAAGTCCAGTGCTTTGGGTTTTGTTTTTTTACTTTTTTGGAATTACTATAACCTGGATGACTCAGAATGTTCACCAGCATAATTCCTAATTAAATATGAGCTATATTATACAGAGCGCAACTAAAATTCCTTCAATATAAGAGACATTCAAAGAGAAAATAACAGATTTTTTTTTATTTTGGCTCTTAAAGGTGTTTTTGTGCACTTCTGAATCAACTTCATACACTTTATACACAGTTTTTTGTTTAAATGTCTATCTCTACTTAATAAAAAGTGACATAGTGTAATTGATTTTGTGTTTCTGATGTAAAAAAAGCATAAAAGCACATTTTTAACAGTTAAAAACAAGCTTTAACTCATTAGCCTTACTAAAGAAGGAATGTTTTAGACACCAGCCTATAGAGTTGGAGACGTTTGGCCTCCTTAATGGCTGCAGCTGGTTTCTCTTTGGACAGAAACCAGTCACCAATTTTATCCTTTACGAATAGCCTCACAAGTTCTCACATTATTCAAACCTGCTAACAAGTTTCCAATCAACTTTTGTTTTCCCGTTTTTGCTCTCCATTTTTTACATAATGCTGAGCTGCCATTGATCAAACAGCTGAGGTGGGGGAGCGTCCTTAACAGCAGTGGCTTCGCATTATCTCTGACAGAGGTCAGGAGGTGCTGGGTGAGAGAGGCCCTCCAGACACTACAAAGAAACATCCGCTCGGCCATGAGCCTCCTGCTGAGCTCGGTCAAACGTATCGGTCAAACGTTCAGCCTTGTTTGTGTTCACAGCCGGGGAGCCAGAAGTCCATGCAAACTAACATTGGGAGTGCTTGTTGTTTCAGAAAGGTGGTTTATATGGGAGTGAAAGGTGTGATACATTAATGGTACAACTGAAAATACAAATTAGCCATTGAAATTTTTCCATTGCTAAAATCTTATGTATTTCACAAGGATTTTATATGTGCTGATCATAAGATTATAAGATTATAATAACATTAAAACATTTTTTTTAGTTTAGTTTTTCCATTAAAAGCGTGAAACTTTACTTTCTTACACAATACACACAGACTGATATCTTTCAACTATCTAATTATTTTGATGCTGATGGTTATAACTGACATCTGATCTGAAACCAAATTCAAACTCAGTTTTTCAGAATATTTAATTTACTCAATCTTCCTCTTCACAAAACGAAGATCTTATACAGGAATCAGGTTGGGTGAGTTTACTGTTCAAATAAGAACAGGGGACCAGATTATAGGGGGTGTTCCATTTGGAAAAGGAAATCTGCATCTCCATAAAGTTGCTCAGAAGGGAGTATGAAGTTCTCTAGAACTTCCTGATGAATGGCCTTTGACCTCGGAAAACACATTGGGCAAAGCGAGTAGATGAAATGGCACACCAAACCATTACTGACTGCTGAAAGTCTATGTTGTACCTCAAACAACGTGGATTCTGCTCTGGAAATTTTTTTAAATCTAATTCATTTTTTCTTAAAATAAGTGCATTGTTCTTGGATAAAGGAGGTTAAAGAGACATCTTGCCAATGAAACAAGACAATTTACAATTAAAATAAGAAAACACAATTACATTGTCTAATTTCAAGTGCATATTATCTAATTATCTTGTTTTAAGAGTAAAAAGACTCATTCCATTGGCAGACTATCTCATTTACCTATTCAAATTAAGGGTAAATACACTTAATTTAAGAAATGTTGACTTATGTGTAGATAGTTTTTTCAGTGTGCATCTC